CATTATTTGCTGAGCAATCCTAAAAGGAAATCAAAGAGAAACTTAAAGAATGTTGCTAATCCTTTGTCGCTATAAGTATGACATTTAAAAGCCAGTAAAAAGCTGTGCTTTGGCAATCGAAACAAAATTATCTTCCTTGTGACCTTGGCTGCTAGATTTCAGACCAGCTAACAGCGCCTATGTCTTTGAGCCAAAAGATATGCTATAGGAACGTTACAGAAGCTGAAAGGTGAGTGGGCTTGTTTTATTTCTGTAGAGCGCTAGTTTTGCACTAGACCATGACTACCAGCTTATTTCGTGGCTGGCACTGGGATGGGTTGTGTCTCTGAGGGCTGCAGGAACGAGGAGATGCTCCCAGTGGGTAGCATTATTTCTACAGCAGCGAGTTTCAGGAAGGATAAGGGGCAAAAGTTAAAAACAACATGGTCAGGAGTGTTTGACCAGTTAATAAGCAGGATTTCATGAGACAATTGCCTGCGATTCAAGGAGACTGGGTTTCGTGACCCCAAAAGTCTCTTCTGGCCAGGTATCACCCTGATGCTAATTGGTTCTACTTAATTAAAGACTTTAACCATGAACTTCAGCTACTGAAAGAAACAGCCATGTGGCTCTTACCAATCCTGTACTGTGACTTGTCAAAACAGAAGAAAAGAAAAAAGATGTTAAAAATACCAAGCAAAATCTAAAGTTGGAACAGAACTGGCTTTTATCTGTTCCAGTCAAAAGTGAGTTCACTAGATACAGTAGTATTTCTTTGAATGGAACAAATAAACCTCAAAGATTTTATAATGAATACCCTTTCTACACATTTCTACAAAGCAGTCTATAAAACTGGGAATGAGAGATGTCATTCTTAAACATATACCACAAGACACTTTTTGCACAACTCCAATAACAAGCTATCATTTTCTATTCGATCCTATTTGGCTTTTCCATAAGGAACTGTAAAAATCTCTCTCAAAACCCTGGCACCAGCGTATGCAATAGGAATCCTAACACTGACTCTGCTGGAGCAGAATCTCCCCCCTTAAGAATAAAGCCTTGGGAAGAAAAAAAATAGTGTGTTGGTTTTGTTGCTGAGCCAGCTATTTAATTCCACCAGCTAGCAGAAACAAAGGGAAACCAAATAAAACTATAAAGCACATGTTCCTTTTGGACAAATAAGCCAAAACCCTTTGAAATATATGGCTCTACACCATCCCTACCTGATAAGTCACATAGAAAGCTGCAGCTGCAGATATCAGCAATCACGTAAATAAATTTTATTATGCTGTACAATACTAGTACAGTTAGACACACTAATCATGGGAGAAGGGGAGGTTGCTATTTTTTTCTGTCCCATATGGTAATAATTTTGTATGATTGAACTGTTACGAGCTAAATAAAACTACACATTAACTGTAAGATACATTGCAAATACATTAAATCTTCCCTGGAGTTTTAGCAAATACTCAATTTTTCTATGATGCATTTGGAATTAGCAAAGGAGTCTACACTGGGCCATAGGATTTATAAATAGATTTGGCTTCCTCTGCAATACTTTATGGGCAATTATTTCAGAAATGAAGATGCAGAGCCACAAATAAATAAAATAATTGCAGCTGATCAGGCTTTATTTACCACTATCACATTTCCCTGACTGTTAAGCTTCCCTCCTCTCATTTGCTCCACTAGCCTGAATCAATGACCAGATGAAGACTTGTCAGTTAATGTCAAACACTGAGCACAATGGTGCCAAAGGCAGATTCTGGTTTCCCCATTTTCAAATCCTGCCTGAGGCTTTCTAGAGCTGGCTTGCTCCCTGGATAAATTCAACGTGGAATTGGGAGGCCGGGAAAGAGCAGAGCAAGTCAGATGAGTTCTGCAGGGTTTCAAGCAAATTGCCAGGGAGAACATTTTGCTGTGACTCCCCTGCAGAAGTCACATCCAAAGGTCTGGAGACCTCCCCTTCTGCTAGCAGATGCCCGGCTGTGTCAGGGAAGGGTTCGCATGGTCTCCCCTATCTGCAGCAGTCCTGCTCAAACAGGTATTAATCCAGTTTGGAAGATACTGAGTACAGCTATGTATGGCAAAAACAGCTTTCCAGGTAGTTCAAATGAATCAAACCCAGGCAGAGACTGGCCTCACGCCTGCGTGTTACCCTGTATGTACCTCACACCATTCAGCTGTCAGTACTTCAGATCTCAGACAGGGTGGGAAACAGGATTATCAATTTTCCTTGGGATCAGGCCTGAAATCCCACTGACACCAACTCTATTCTCTAAAAAACAGTGGCTCAGTTCCGTTTATCATAGAGATGGAACTCATATTGCCCCCTCCAGCACTGAAGAGATGAATTGAGGCCCCAGTTTTCATTTGCAGCTGGGCACTCAGTGCTGTTTCATGGTTGTGTTACCTGGGATTCATGAAGAAGGTTGCTTGTATGAAGAGGCTTATCAACTCAGGAGAGAGAAAAGCATAATTTCTCCTGCTTTGAAAAGCCATGGATAACCCAGTAACAACTGAAACACATAGGATGTACCACATGGGGATGTCCTGACTACCCTCCAAGGGCTTCCTTCAACAAGCTGATCTCAGACATAGCCACCAGGATGATGTTTCATCAAAAAAATTAAGCTATTTAGAAAAAAATGTCCTTTCCACCACCAGTCCTGATGACCAGAGATGTCTGACCCTGATCTTTGAGCTCCCTATAGCCTCCTGTCCTGGGAAGGCACACCCAGCTTTCTGAAGCCTGGATCAGAAAGGTACCCTGAAAAAAAGAGGAGCACCAGAAACAGCCTGGAAGGTGTCTAGGGCCTGAATAGGGTCCTACAAGAAGAAGTCTCATAGCTTGAAAGCCGATTTTTATTTTTTTTTTGTAGTTCTAGGCTGCTTATTTCTGTATAAAGAAATGATGCTGCAGACCTCTCCAAGAACTTAATCAACAGTCCATAAGCTGGTGAAAGAGGCCAATGGGACCAGATGCCAAAGGAGCTAGGAAGAGTTACACTAGCTGAGCACCTGGCTCCCTGTTCACTGTTATCAGAATGAAGACAAATGCTTGCAAACATCCTTATTCAAAATCACTAATGTGTTCAGGGACGCTCAGCACAAATGCAGCAGCGTTGCTACTGTAAGGTGTGGTGCCTGGGAACACAGCTGCTGAATGCTCTAATGCTGCTTTTTCCAGCGGTGTATGCAATGCAAAGAGCAGTGAGAAAATAAGGTGTTGCTGCCCTTCAAATCAAGCAAAGGGAATGATTAAGACATCATCATTTTCTGTTATTGTTCTAGTGGATGGTCATAATTGCTTCTACACAGGAACGTGGCTATACCTCTATTGTCATCCATCATCTTGCCAAGGCTGTGCAAAGAACAGTAGAAACAGTAAACTTTTGATTTGACCTCATTAGCATTCCCAGAATTACAATGTCATACCAATGATAAAGATTGAGATTATCTGCGTATCAGCAAATGGAGAAGAAACAAATCACACTATGTAAAAAGCCAACAGCACAACCACGATTCTGCCAAACACTTAAAGGTTGATCGAACCCGTCTGGTTCTTGATTTCGCATGTGGGACAGGACACAATTAAGAATTGTGCCTATATGCATCAAACTTGCAGATGTAGGGGGATGGACCCAGATTGATGATCTGAGGATCTGAGGATCTGGAGAGAGGGCAGAGAGAGGAAGCGAAGATGTTGGAGTAGATGCTCTCTGATACAACTTTCCCTCTGACTTGTCAGTATTATTTGTGCTTCCTCTGACCTCTCCCAGGCAACCAGTGATCCACCAGAAACATGGAGAAATTTGTGTGCAATTTGGGAAATAACACAGAGGCATTTGGCCTTTGCACAAATGCCATGCGCTGCCTGGAACTTCATACGATTTCGTTGTGATTCCCAGCATAAATGCACATAAGGAGGGTTCCTGCTCAAATGTGAGTTGAAGGAAAGTTGGACGAATTATTTGGCCCTTCTGGCAGTCAAATAAGATCATGTCAAATCTGTACTGGTCTGAGGTCAGTCTATAGCAAAATCTATAGTGAAACAGGGGATTTCTCAGTCTCCAGCCAGCAGCTTACCCCCTGAGCTGTGCTCCCCACTATAGCCGTAACACAACACCAAGACATATTCCAAACCACTCGTTCTCAGTTACTTTAGTCTTTTATGGACCATCCTAGAGGAAATTAACCGAACTTCCCTACATGGGAACAAAAGAAGGAAATGAATTTATTATTCCAGTGATACTCTTGACACAGAGTATTGAGTAGCTTCATTAAACATTTTGCAGCCCCGAGTGTCTTTACTAAGCCCTCTACAATAAGCACAGAGTCATTTTCCTTATATACAACACAAACATACAGGTCAGGATTCAGAATTCATTTACATGTGCTTTGTATGTGAATAACTCCCCTTATCTCAATGGGATCTGGGCAGGTGCAAATCAAGGCTGCATCACCCTAGTCCTTCCCTTTCTCTCTAGATTCATTACCTTGCAGTACCACTCTCAGATAAACTCATTTACACAGAGTCAGCATAGCTACAGCCAAATGACTAATACAACCCTTTAATACAAACACCAATAAATCAACGGATTAAATTATAATTTCTCAGACAAATACTATTTAGCTCTTCCCAAAGCTGTTCTGAACCATGTCTCTTGTCTGGCCATATTCCAGACGAGCACTGACACTAGATAAAGCTCAGACCTGCAGAGTAAGTTTACATAAGAAAGAAATGCTGAAAATATCCTGTATTTATGATGGGAGATTTCACAGAGATCAGAGTGAATAACATTCCTGAGAAGACGGTAATGTATCTGAAGCCTCCTCAGTACCTTTTCCAAAGACTAGTCTAGCAGGGCAAGGTTTTAACAGCCCCTGAAGCTCTACATTCAGCACCAGACACATTAACTTTGAGAGATACTACAGCAAACTTTTAATGGCTTAGAAAATGGCAACAGGCTATTCCACCACAATTCCACTTCACAACACAGACTTTTTTTACTTACTTCATTGGTTTGAACAATGCTTGTCCATAGTTCTGGAACGTCATGATCAGCTTCAGCTGGGTGCCTCCTGATTTCATCGCTGTGGGAAAAAAACAAAACCGCTTTAAAATGCCACATGTGGATATACTTACATTCAGCTTCCTTGGAACAAAATAACATATCTTTTGCTCTGTATTAGATTCAGCACTGCGGTATCTAAGCACCAAGCAGGGTAATCCTAACTGGACAACAGATTATTCAGCAGGTGCAGAGTACAGGGGAGGGCTTTGAGCTGCCGACCAGGACTGAAAATGGGTTATATTCCCTGGCATGTCTTCGTCTTCTTCAATTGGCCACTGTGAGCTCGATAAGCACCCTAATTGAACAGCACGTATAGGAACAAACCATTGGAGTCTTGTTTTCTCCATCTTCAATTGCTTTTGGAGTTCCTTTTAACAAGGGACGTGCATTGGGAAAAGAGATGGGGTGCTTTTGAAGACAACTGCAGCTGGGATGTACAGTCCAATGTGCAGCAGACATCTCCTTAATTAAAAGTATGAGCAGATACTATAGCAATCTCTGATTGCTGCAATTTTAATAATTGTTGCTGAGCAGTAGAGATATATAAATTCATCTCCTCTGTGCACAATGGATACGTATCCAAGCCCATCAGTTAACTTCAAGGGATCCCAAAGTGGCTCGTACACAAGAGCAGAGCTGTGCAGAGCGGGTCGCTGGCTCTGCTGGGAGGGTAGGAGAGGGCACATGGAGGTGGCAGGGACTGCAGTCCACGCTGCACACCGAGGACCATCTTTGCTCAAACATTAAATGCACTCACTTCCCAGTTGAGAGCCATTGGGAATTTAAGACTGACATTTATTCACACCAGTCTGAACAATTTGGACAATATCATGTTAACAGCCATATTACAGTGTTTCTAAAGTCAGAGCAAATTTTTTTATATATAAGAATTCATAAAAATGCATTTTACTTGATGATAAGGTTACTTAAGAAAGATAAATATATACTTTGGCAAACCAGTTGCTTTTTTACAATCTCAATCAAAACTGCTCTGAATAAATGAAATGACCTATACCCTGACTCCTTAATTCACTTCTGTGTTCGAAGAGGCAGGCCATGGCAGTCGTGTCTGTGTGGATGAGTCAGTCCTTTAAAAATGCTGCCTATGAATGATCAGATAATCAATCCCTTTCTTTACAGTTCTGACAAAACCTGTGTCAACTGGAGAACTACATAAACGCCGAGTTACCTTGCTCTGTAAATTTTGGCTTAGAGCTGCCCTTGTCCCACCTATATAGCTTGTACATTTTTTTTCTCTAATCAATGCCATTAGCTGCACATCCTTTTAATTACTCATCTCTGTGCCTTATTACTGATAGGTCATCAGCTCTCTTTCAGCACTTGTAATCTATATTTTTGCAACAAAATGCTATGTAAATCTGGTCAGTGTAATTATACTTCCCCTAGAATAAAATCCCTCCTGCCTTGCTGTTTTGCTGACCCCAGCCTTCTCTTGCATTTCCAGTTTATCCCAAAGGAACAAATAAATAATGAGAAATTAAAGGGTGTTAAATAACTTGCACTGAACAGGTAAAGCAGAAGCACATGGTTTTCACATAGTAAACTCCCTCTCTTGTGCAGAACAGGTCAGTTGATCTGCACCTGAGGGAAGAAGGAGTAGAACTTTTTATACCTAACCCAAAGCCTGAAGGCAATGAGAAGCAGCAATCCTCGAGCCAGCAATGTACACGTGCTGCCCTAGGACCACCACAGCCCAGCTATGCACTCTGGAAACACTCCTGGTTAGCCTGGACAGCAAACAGGCAGCTGGAGCTGCCCTTGCCTTCTGCCTGCAGGGACCCACGGCCATGCCCAGGACAAGCCCCCACCACCTTCCCTGCCCAGCTACTGCCGAAGGCGTGGGGTTTGCCCAGCTCTTTAAGATATAACCTGTATTTGCACCCCTGTTCACATGGGTATCTCCATTTAGGTCAGTAATATCAGCCTCAGTACCAAAGGGCAGAATTGACTCCTTTGTGTCAGATATAACTCTCCCCACCTCCACTGACCTCAACTTGGCTGCTTGCAGACTGCTTGCAGCAACTGAAGACCAAATGTTTTTTCTCTAAAATTGATGTAATTTATGCTTCTTCATTCCATTCTGAGGAGCTCAAGGGTTAGAGATTGGCTCCCTCTCCTCCATGAGACATCTATGTCCAAAATATAGCAAAGATCCTGTAAGCCCATCAGAGAAAAGGGAAAGATAGAGCCTATTTTGAGTTACAGCTGGGAAGCCAAGCATTTGGGAAATCACAGCAATGCAAAGAAGAAAAAAGGATGTTGCAGCATGTCCTTTTCCAAGCACAAAGTTTCAGATACACCAAGAAGACTGGTTTCTCAGCAAATTGAAGACACTCAATAGATAATGATTTTGTTAGCAGCTGAACTCAGCAATGAGCGTGTCATCACCAAGCAGGGAAATGTATGAAGAAGATTAACAATTCAGAATAATTCTTCCATGAGACACAAAGGCCTGGTTTCCTGTCAGAAGGAATTGAGCTGAAGTAAGACAAAAGCATCTCCCTCGTCTTTTTAGATCCATCTTCTTGTATTGCCTTAATTGGTTGCAATAGTAGCCTCAACCGAACACAAGTTTTGCTGGCATGCCGTTCCCCCACTGCTGCTAGGAGTAAAGTTTGGACCTCCTCAAAACAGAGGATAACATTAGTGGGAACAGTGTCCCATCGTGCCTTATGGCAGGGCATGCTGGAAACCACATGCATCATGGACAACAACCTGTGCCAGTGCTCCGTGTTGGCTTCCCCCCACATCACCTGGACTGACGTGCAGATATTCCCACTTTGGCTGCTTGTTCAGTGCCGCAGATGTGCTGGCCAGGCTGGAGGTGCTTCAAAGCCACCCTCCATGTCCAGACTAGTTAGAGTCTAACATTGTAACCCCTGCAGAGAGGGAAACACCTGAGCTTAGACTGTCCTTTTGAACTCAACAAACCCCTTCATGCACCCCTAAACTAAGCAGACTTGGAACAGTCCAGGGTGCCAAATCTTGGGGGTAGCAATGCCAGAAAAGAGCAGATCTCATTGGAGATGATTCACTCAGGCCTTTAGGTCAGATTACTTCCCTTGTCCTAACTTAGCATTACATCTGCGTACTGGCTTCCCTCTCATTTTCTGAGATGTACTCCTTCAGGAACTCCTGCTCAGACCTCAGTTAAACATGTCCCTCTGGCCATTATGGCCAAAGAGCAGGAGCCCCACCATCTTCCAGGAGCTTATCCTGAACAAACATTGTTTGCTTATCTGGAGATGCCCTTGTCCCTTCACCTACTGCCCACAGGAACATTTCTGAAGAATTTATAATACCCAGAAGCAGCATATACAATTTACCAAGAAATTGGAGGATGCTACACCATTGCAATCTGTCACATCTACCATCAGCAGGCTTAAGTATTTTTAAGAAGGCCTTGCAACATAAGGCTGTACTGACTCCAAGGGAATCCCTAGTCACTCTGAATTCACCTTTTTTTTTTAAGGTTTCTGAATACACTGTAACATCACAGGTCATGAACAGCTCTGCAGCAGGTTTATAAACCTGCTAGCTCCCAGCAGGTACCTCAAATCAAGTCTCATACAGCTCCTGGACATACTGGCACAGTGTTAAAAACAAATCACAATACGATCATTACTTTTTATCTTCAGGGAACTAAAAGCCCCTCTTCTCCCCCCAAAGCAGAAGAAAACGGAAAGCAGCATTAACCTTTCCTGTTAACCCAGTGCAAGGGCTTTCGGGTGTGATCAGAAATCTTCCTAACTTCAGGGGGCTTTGCAAAAAATTCCCTGAGGTATCTTTTTACTTGAGCGTCTGTGGGATTAGTCTTGTCCAAAGACTAGTGAAATTGGTGGGATTCCTTCCATTTTCTCTGATGGACTTTGGATCAAGCCTCCAAAAATCCCCATTCCATTTACATATATGCACCTGTTGTCATGGCCACATGCCATGTCTGCTACTTCACCACCTTGTCCCCTCACCAATACAAGAACTGTATTCCCCTCCTGATCCACAGACAGCATCCAATATAAAAGAGGTACTACCTATCATCTCTCAATTATCTTTTTATAACTGTATGCTGCAGGGTTTCTGACTCTCTCTTCTAAAGCATCTGGTACTAACCCCTAGTAGAGACCCAATGTTGCCCAAGAGGATTTGACCCAAAAGGATTTGGAATTTGAATTGATCTGGCTTTCCAGCTCCTGCATGATATTCCTCATCCTACTGGCCTGTCTAGACTGCCTGGTCTTCTGATGGAGAGCAAGAGTCCCAACAGGACCTCTGAACCTGGCTTTTGGTCAAAATCCAACAAACATTTTAAAATGTATTTAATTATGCAATGCTAATGCCTGAGAAGTGAGATCCAGTCAAAGCCTGAGATGCAGTAACATCTGAAACAGAGGACATTCAGATCCATTTTGGATTCCTATTTATAGATCGAGCTTAAATCTAACATAACATGTTGATTGGCTTTAACAAATAATACACTGCCCCAGGCTAGAGACACGGCCCTGGACAAGCTGTAAAGAACATATTTCAAAACAAATTCAAGCCCTCATCATCTCTTAATTTGTTCTTGTTCAGCCAATTCTGCTAACTTGTTTTTAAAGGCCTTTCTTGGTTTAGTGAAGAGAGTAAAAGACTTCTGGAGGGGAAGAGATCTGTGAAATCATTCAGAGGCTTTGTTGTGCATTTTAAGTCCCCTCCTTTCATCTGGAATTGTACATTAAATCAATCTGTTCACTCTTGGCAGATTCATTGTTTTCTTATACAGTAAATCAATGGTGCTACATTTCATTATGTTTTTTACACATTCTCAACAGCACTTTTTCCCTTCCTTTGGATGAGATTTTTATAACTTCCTTTAGCACCAGAATTTAGGTTCAATATTTAGCATCTTGTCTTTTTCTTTTTCCTGACTTGAAGCAGAGTCCACCTTAGTTAATTGCAGCATTTATTCACTGCGTGAGTAATCTTGCATGCTTGCTTTCTAATTACTGCCTGTACAAACTGAAGGCATCGCAGGTTCAGAAATGAACTCAGTCAGGTAATGTTTCCAAACCTTTCCAACCAGAGAATTGAAAGAATCAAAAAATAAACCCTAACTAAACACAGGAATTACAAAAGCCTGTTCTGTTCACAGGCAATCCCACAGCACAGCTCCTCCGGACCGCACTACAAGCAAGATCAAGACCACACTGCCTCTACAATGCACCATGCCATATTTGTTGTTAAACTGCTGACAGTGCTGCCACAATTATGCACAGACGTCTTGTGAATATGCAAGAAAATAGCTAACTACGATTATTTATGCATGCAATAAACACTTATGAAAGGCAAAGGAAACGTGCAATTGCCTGTGCATGTGCTTCTTCTGAAAACTGGGTTTCAGTGATCAGTGGAAAAACAATTCTCTCTAGGCTCCTATTTATGGCAGGAGGAAATTTTCAGTAAATTAAATCAAATTAAGAGCTATCCCTTTATGCTGAACAAAATGAATAGGAAATATATATACTGATGCAGGGCACAGAATACATCCTCAGCTTGAAAGCTCTGGGTAACCCTGTCCTTTTCAAGGCCAGCTCTAGGTGTCACTGTGGGAGCTGAATGTGATGCTCTTTCCCATCCATGGATTTGTTCCATTTAAACTTTAACATCAAGAAAATGTCACCTTGGTGCTCCCTGCTCTTGGGAATTGCTTCTGTTACCGTTTTCATTTTAAAATAACACTGCACATTACAGAGTCGTGTGAGCAGTTCTGATAGGTGGCAGGGGGATCAATCTGGTCACTGCTCTCCTCCATAAATAATGCAAGCTCAGCATAGAAATTACAATGTGGCTAAGAAAGTTGTTTAGCTGCAGTTTGGATCTAATTACTGTAGGTACCAAGAACCTGCACAGCAAATCACCTAATTCTGCTAGAGCCAAAGGAAATCTGAACACTGGAAAGAAACTGGATAAAGCAGTATCCCATTTCATCTAATGCATATAAGCTTGAATATTTCATTATTCTGCTTGCAAAATAAGCCTGAAGATTGGGCATTATGAAGATTTCCATTTATTTTATACTTCTAACCTGGCATCTTTGCAGCTGCCTTGAAAAAAAGAAAACAAAAAGCAAAACAACAAAAATTGACCATAAGCAAAAAAAACAGACAAATTAGAAAATATGTAGGAATATGCAAAAGAAAGCAACAGCCCTATAAATGTCCTTTGGTCAAATATATTACTCTTTATTAATCAGCTTACATGCTTTTGAACTCCTGCTGCCACTCCACAGTAAAGCTGAAAACTGGCAGGTATTATTTTAAAACATATAAACACCCAAAGAATTTGCAATATAAAATAAGAGATGCTGCACCATGCAAATAAAATAATTATATTAACAATATGCTCTTTCTTCCTTTGTAATCTGACTGAAAGCTCCTGAAACCCCACAGAGGCAAGTACTGGATGCTACCAGCAAAATTCAGATCCTGGCATCTTTATATTGGCAAAAGTTCCCTTCCATTTCCATAGGCTTGATTTTAGACTGGGATTTATGTGTAGAAATCATTCTCTGTCAGTTCCCACAGCGACCGATACCAATACCAAATGTACCTCATGTTTTAGTTTATGGAAATTGTACTAAATCATTGATAGAAACCATGCCTCTACATTTTTGTTAGGGGCACAAGAAGCCCTACCGTGCTCTGAAGAGCCTTGTTCAAACATTAACAGAGAGACAATCCCATAGGAAATTGCTAATAACAATCATAAATCTTCCTCTGTGGGCCCGTGGCCCTTTTCCCCTGTTGATCTGAAAGCTCTATCAAAACCATAATTAATGGAAACCTCATGACACATCTATATGACACATTAGGTGAAATCATGGCCCCAGGGAAGTAAATGGCAAAACTTCCACTTACATCACCGGGGTCAGGATTTCATTCCTATTTTTTATGATAACCATTTTGCTGCTAGGTTAACTGAAGCATAGAGAGGTTAAGCAACATGCCCAGAAGCACCAGTGAAGATCAAGCTCAGCAGATCAAGTGAACAGTGAGTACTAAACTATTATTTCTCATTCCTACCTCCCTTTTTCTCCCACCAGCTTCTATGTCCCTACATCAACCTTAACCATCCCACTGCTCTGCAGAAGTGACAGACTTCATGGCTCGAATGCTGCCGAGTTTGCTGCAAACACTGCTCTCCTGCAGAGACAACACAGCTGAGCTCTAAAGTGTTGAAGAGGTAAATAGAGATTGATACACTTAGCAGCTATGCAGTACAAAACACCACTATGGCCAATGCATTTTGTGTAAATCTCAATAGATAAGTCAGGAGATGCTTTGGTTGAGCATCACCTCTGCACAGAGCTGGGGACAGCCTGGTCACTGCCTAGGGCACTGCTGCTCTCTGCGGGGGACAGGGAAGGGCACAGCCTGCATCTTTTCTTCCTCGATGGATAGCTCAAAGAGCAACGTTAACACATGTGTTATAAAGTGCTGGCTCAATCCCCATTCACCCGTGTCACTAATATTCCAGAAATCGGTTGGTATTGAGGGGAGAGGTCAGGAAAGGTGAGGGCTATGTCAAGGAGAAAATCACCCTGGCCAGGCCCGTACAGTGCCCTCGTGACCCTCCAGTGCAGACCAGAGGAGCACGGGCAGAGTCTGCTGCTACCTGCTGTGTCACATCTGAGCTAAACAAGGGAAAATACATGGCTTAATTTTCAACCTGAGCTCCTTAATGAATCACTCTGATCCAGAGTTTTGGGGACAGAAAACCCATCACAGATTAATAAACGAGCCTGTGTTTGCCATCTTTCATGAGCGGGGTGTCCACTGGCCCCTTGAATCCAACCTGTGGGATGGCACCTAGGTACTGCAAACTGCTTTATCCAAAATCCTGCCCCAGCAGAGCTCAGAGCAGAGCTGTGTGCTGAGTACAGCCACCAGGCAGCTCAGTTCGTGGAGGCGAAGCTTTCCTGTGGCATCCTGCGTTTTACACCTACTCTATCCGGATCAGCTAATTCAGCCCACCCTTGATGACCAAGGATCTCCCTTATTCCTGCTCAGCAGCTGCTGTGATTCACACGATGGAAAATGTAAAACTTGGGGCTGCTCATGCTATTCTTGCACAGGCCATTTCCTGC